AGGTCCTTTCAAAGTTATTAGGAGAATGGATAAATACTTCATTATTCTAAAGAATAATCGCCACACTTCAATACATATTGATCATTTACAACCAGAATTCTTGTTGAATGAAACCTTGCATGATATTAATACTGTTAAAGAAAATCCTAAAAAAGTAAAATTTTCCTTTTTATAATTTAATCAAATACTTATTATTTCAATGTATATAATGTCTTTCTTGTGCAGACTAAGACAATTGTTACCACCCTCTATGGATTTCCTTTTCTTCTTCGTTCTTTTTATTTCTATGTTTGAAACATCGTCATTAATTTAAATTTTTAATTTTTATTGAAGGGGGGAATAATTGTAGCGCATCACGCACTCTTATTATTTTTATATAGAAACATCATGTTATATCACCATGGGTTGTTATATCAACATAATGTATTTTCCCATGGCGATTTTGTTATAGTCATAAAATAATAAATAAACTGGTAGACAAACATAAAACAGTCTACCAAATACTCCATTTTAATTTTTAATATTTTATTATATGATTAATTAATATAGAGTTACAAATAAATATACTCTATAATATCCTGATTTAAAAGAGATTAAACATGCTCAATCTACAGATCTTCAGTTACAACATCTCTTACAAGCCCAATCGCGAGGTAATACTAATTTTACACTCGTTGAAGAAAAATCAGTTTTTCCTGATATAACTCTTTGGTGTGATGTCTCAACATCCATTCCTAAAATTTATATTCCCGAAAAATTTCGCAAACAAATTTTCCAAAAATTTCACAATGTTTCACATCTTGGTATACGTGCAACTCGTCATTTATTAAAGATGCGTTTCTTTTGGCCCCACATGAGTAAAGACATTTATCTTTGGACTAGATCATGTATACCATGTCAAAAAACTAAAATTAATAAATATACAAAATCTCCTATAGAGCATATAAATGTTCCACAAGGAAGATTTCAACATATACATATAGATCTTGTTGGACCTCTTACTCCTTCTTCTGGTTATTCATATATTTTAACTGTTATTGAACGTTTTACTCGATGGCCAGAAGCTTTTCCGGTTATAGACACTTCAGCAAGCACCATAGCAAATACACTTTTTCAAAATTACTTTTCACGATTTGGTATTCCGCACACAATTACTNTGTAGCGCATCACGCACTCTTATTATTTTTATATAGAAACATCATGTTATATCACCATGGGTTGTTATATCAACATAATGTATTTTCCCATGGCGATTTTGTTATAGTTATAAAATAATAAATAAACGGATAGACACACATAAAACAGTCTATCAAATACTCCATTTTAATTTTTAATATTTTATTATACGATTAATTAATATAGAGTTACAAATAAATATGCTCTATAATAAGAATCTGTTCATAATTGGCAAAAATAAAATTCCCGCAAAAGCCATTAGTTGTTTAATTAATCAAGAAAGTCCATCACAATAAAGAAAAAGCAAAACCACGTTACGTCAATTGACGACAAGACGTTATGTCATTCAATCAAGTTAGAACAAGCCCAGTCCCGCAATAATTAAGATTACAAACTAGTTTACAGTCGTGTGCCGGTGAGTAAGGTCATTTTTCATTCTTGTAAATCTAATATAAAGAGGAATCAAAAAAATTTTCAACAGTTTTTATTTAACAAAAACAGATATTAAAAAATTTAATGTACTTTAATAGAAAACCTAAACGTATGTTTTAGACAATTTTTTATTAAAAATGATAGACCCTGCTGATGGTGACAATACCGCGCTTAAATTGCAAAATATTTCAAAATTGAAATTACCACCATTTTGGCCTTCTTATCCCGCCATTTGGTTTTGGCAAGTTGAAGCACAGTTTACTTTAACTAGAATTAGCAGTGAACAAACAAAATTTAATGTTCTTTTGACTAATTTACCCACTGAGATCATCTCCACCGTAGTAGATCTCCTACAGAATCAACCAAACACGAATCCATATTCTTCACTCAAAAAGTTGTTAATTGACAGGTTATCATTGAGTGAAGAAAAACGTCTGGATGATGTTCTGTTAGGTTCGCAAATGGGAAATCAAAAACCGTCAGATTTTTATCGAGCGATGTTGACCACAGTTGGTGGTTCTCAGGTGGTTAGTCCAAATTTACTATTAAAATTGTGGCAAAGGAGACTAGCTCGTGTTAATTAAAATTAAATTTAAAATCGTGTTAATTAAATAATATTTGTCAGTATAACCTCTTTTAAGGATAAAAATAAAAATGCGTGTTTCGTTATGAAATGATGAAAATGAACTGAAGTTTTATTTTAAATGTAAACAATAGTAAATTTTCATGACAACGCCATGGTATAATGATTTAACAAATATTAGAATTTAAAATCAGGTAGGTTCTGTGATGGTAACGCTACAGATACTCCCCTGCGTAAAATATTCAACCGGTGGAAAAGAATAAATAAAAATATTACATGGAATTAGTCGAGTATTGTGAGGTGTGGATACTGCCGATAAATTGTGCACCTCATATAATCTTGTAAGGAATATAAGACGATGGCTAGCTGTAGTATTTTTTGCCATGCTGAACGTTACGAGCATAAATGCACTGGTAATTTATTTTGAGAATAATTAAAAATCTATTCGCAGAAAAATGTTCCTCAAAAGGTTAGCACAGGAATTAGTCTTGCCCTAATCGAAGCGAAGAAGTCAGCAAACTCTGGGAATGCCTAAAGATATGCAAAAAAGATTGAAACGTTTTCAATCTACCAATGGCAACGAGGAAGATACTCAAAACAGAGAACAATATGATGGTGGTGCTATCAAAGTACGATTGCAAAAATTGTCATAAATCAATATGTTTATCACATATTTAGACATTTTGTCATAGTTGTGCTCAAAGCTTAATACTGTACAGCCAGCTAATATCTCAAGCATCATCAAATGAGTGATAAACGTTTTCGCTTTTATAGATTCATTTTCTATGATTCATTGTTATTGTTTTGTTACGATTATCTCAGTTGTACTGTTCATAAATTATTAATAATGTTTCAATAAATAATAAGAGTAAAAATTTTGATTTATTGTATTTAGAATATTATAACCATAACTATAATAATAAAAATGTATAAAATAATATTTAGTCAGCTTCATAACATAGTAAACACATTGTGATCATTTTGATACATTGCGCCCGATATGATACTTTTTTGCATTGCGCCTGACGAAAGGTTAACTTGAAAAATGAGAAGATGTCTTATTATGTTTAAAAATTAATACCGCAAAAACTAATAGATATGTTGAAAATCTGTTTTACTCTTTTGAATATTCGTTATTTGTCTTACAAATGCTGAAATGCAAATTTCATACTACCTCCGTTCCAAAATAAGTGTTCGATTTGAGATTTTTTATAGGATTATTAAATAAACAAAAAAAAAGTTGTAATTATGAATTTATTTATATAGAACACATATTCATTGATCATAGTAGGTCGGATATGTTTATGACAGTAGAAATTTAAACCAGTGTCAATTACTAAATCTTGGTAAAAAAAAAGTTAGTTTGATATATTCTCCGCCAAGTATAAAAATTGAAAAAAATCATGTCAGAAAATATGCGAAATTATAAAGGAGCGTTGAAAAAACCTAATTTAAGCAACGAGCAGCGGCAAGGTGTCTTACAATATCTGCTGAAAAACGTAAGCAATGAAAAGTTGAAACACGGTGCAATTAAACAGTGCAGCACCAAATTCAACGTTTGCACGCGGACAATAAACCGAATTTGGAATACAGCAAAACAGGATTATAATGTCGGATCTTGTACAGCTAACGTCGACTTAAACAAAAAAGGAAATACTGGAAGGAAACGTAAAGAGAGAGAGGATATAAAAAAGAAAATCTCGGAAGTTTCCATAGCACAAAAATCAACCATCCGCAGTCTTTGTAACAATATTAACCAGTCATTGGGAACAGTGCACAGAATTTTGAAAGGAGTCATAAAGAGAGTTTCAAGTACATTGAAACCTGTTTTGACCGATGACAATAAGAAGTGTCGATTAGAATTTGCACTTTGTATGTTACAAGAACCTAGCCTATATTTTCAAGAAATGTTAGAGTTTGTTCATATTAATGAAAAATGGTTTTACATAACCAAAACTAAGACAAACTGCTACCTTCTTCCCGAAGAAGAAACACCTCATCGAACATGTAAGAGTAAAAGATTCTTAACAAAAATCATGTTTTTAGCTGCAGTGGCTCGTCCAAGATATGATTACAACAAAAAGTCTGAATTTAAAGGTAAAATAGGCTTGTGGCCTATTGTAACTTAAGAACCAACATAACGAAATTCTAAAAATCGTGTACGTGGGACATTAGTGACAACACCTGTTGAAGTTACTCGTTAAATTTATGTGCACATGATTACCAAAAAAGTTATTCCAGTTATAGAAGAAAAGTGGCCGAAGGGTAGCAAAAAGATGCCCATCAAAATTCAACAAGATAATGCCCGACCACATTGTAATATAGATGATGGTGAAGTAATTCGGGAAGGAACAGCTGATGGATGGAATATTAGTTTGATTTGTCAGCCACCAAACAGCACTGACTTTAATGTTATTGATTTAGGCTTTTTTAATGCGATTCAGTTTATACAACATAAAAGCTCGATGCATAATATAGATGAATTAATTGCTGCTGTTTTGAAGGCATGGGATGATACACCTGCATATAAATTAGATAATGTTTTTATGACTCTGCAGAAATGTATGGAGTCCTCCATGCTTCATAAAGGAGGTAACAATTACAAAATCCCTAACACAGAGAAAGAAAAATTACGGTCTACTGGACAATTACAAAGCAATGTAATTTGTTCAAAAGAAGCTGTTGAAACTGCATTAAATAGTTTATAATTTTTATTCAAATTATACTATAAAAAATTTGGTTCAATTGTAATTTAATACAGTTCTATTAATAAATTAAAATATAGTAGTACTTATATTTCACTTTTTTTTTAAGTTGACACTTATTTTGGAACAAATAAAATATACAAATCGGACACTTATTTTGGAACGGAGGTAGTAAAAATTTATTCCGGAATTGCAATTATTATTCAAACATTTTTTACAGTTATATTTTAAATTTATTATATTCTCCGGAACGGGCTCTCTAAAGCTACCACTTGTTAAGATGTTTTGAAAATGATTGAAATAATTGTTTATCGCAGCAAATCTCAAAAATTAAAAGATATTTTGTATATTGTTTCTTGCAGTAGAAAGCTAATAATTTGTATAATAAGTGCTGAGAAATTCATAATAATTTATTCAAATCCCGATTTATTATGATTTTTTGATAACACAAGGAAACAGCATTTTTGTTGCATGAAATATTATGACTAATATTATACTTTCTCTGAGTGCTGATTTCAGATCTGAAGGCAGATTGTTCGTATCAGCTTCAATTTTTGAGATATAATAATTAAAACGCGTTTTTTAAGAAAAATCTATATTTTATTAAGAAACTCATTAGAAAAACAACCACTACTTATCAAAAAATTTTCTTTTATAAGATTTTCTTGCTTGACTTGGTTCACGAGGGCTGTTTTTAATGATCCAACAATAGTCTGCCATCATGTGAGCATTCCAGTGACCCTGGTAATGTTCCTCCATAGTTCGAATGTCTTGATGGAACCGTTCCCCTTGTTCTTCACTCAGATCACCAAGATTTTAAGGGAAACGATCCAAATGACTGTGGAGGAAGTGTACCTTGATGCTCATATTACATCCAAGCTGCTGGAAGTGTAACAACATCAGCTCAATATGCTCCGCATAGCTTTCGTCCTTTTTGTTTCCCAGAAAATTTTGTGCAGTCCAAACGAATTCATTCCAGGCATTTTTTTCAATATCAGTCATGTAACTATTAAAGTTTTCATCCTTTATCAACCTTTTTATTTGAGGACCATCAAAAATTCCGGCTTTAAGTTTCTCTGTGCTCACGTTATGGAACTTTTTAGCGATGTATTTAAAACACTCACCATCCTTGTTTAGAGCTTTGACAAATTGTTTCATAAGCCCTAGTTTGATATGTAAAGGTGGCAGTATTATACGATCCCTGGACACAAGGGGTTCATTTATCACATTCAGTTTTCCCGGAACCATAGTTTGCCTGGAAGGCCAATCTTTTCTAACCCAGTGCTCAGACTTAGCTCTGCTGTCCCACAAACAAAAAAAACATGGATATTTTGTATAGCCCCCTTGTTGTCCAAGAAGAAAATTCACCATCTTTAGATCTACACATATCAGCCACTTGTGTTCGTTGTACTTGATTTTATCCATAACAGAAGCTACAGTAGCATATTCTTCTTTGACTGTACTTGAATGTGCAATCGGTATCGAACCCAGTTTATTGCCGTTATGCATAAGTACACATTTTAAGCTACGTTTAGAAGAATCAATAAATAAACGCCATTCATTTTTATCATACTTCTGTACTCCAATTGCTTTCAATAAAACAGGAACATCTGAACAAAAAGCAAAGTCGTCATCTTTAGCAAAGAATGAAAGCAATTCTGTCTCTCGGTTACGATAGTATGAAATTCTTGTTTTCGGGGTTACAAGATTTCTTTGCTTTATTCGAGAAGCTAGAATCTCCGATACTTTTTTAGAAAGACCAAGGTCTCTGACTAATGCACTGAGGTCTTCCTGATTAAAGGGCTGAGGCTCAGAAGAAATTGGGTTAAAATCACTTGTCCCACTTTCATCACTTAAAGAAGAACCTTTCTTCTAATTTTGTGTAGGTGAAGAAACTTGGGGTACTGGCGCATCTTCGGAGTACAGAACTGGTCGAGTAACAGATAACAAGTTAGGGTAAAACCATTTCGACCGATTTCTTTTATTAATTCCGTTTATATTAACCACACAAAAATAACAATCATCTTGATGATTTGAAGGCTCTCGCCACATCATTGGTGTTTGATACTTAAAATGAGGTCGTTTCTTATTCGCCCATAACCTCAAAGACTCCACACATATTTTACATACCATATGAGGGATCCAGTACTTGTCACGGGTGTCCAACGGGAATCCAAAATAATCAAAATACACCTGTTTTATGAACGCCGACATACTTAGTCTACAATTTTTGAATGTATATTCACCACAGATGTTACAAAAATTGTCGGCATTGTTTTGACAGATATTTCTCGACGCGGACATTATTACAGAAAACACTGTTTTAAACAACAGCTCGGTTGATTTGAAATTTAAACGTGACTAGCTGTATCGCAAAAACTAGAACTGCTAAAGAAAAAAGATGGGTAAATTTGAAATCAGCGACCTCCGATTAGTAAAAAACAGGTATAAAAGTCGATTCAACAAAAAAAAGTTTAATTTTGTTCCCTTGTGTAATGTGTGCTTAATTTGCTTAATCTTAAATAATTGCTTTACTTTCTTCGAGATGATTCTTCCAGACTAATTTTTAATCTTTCCATAGAGTCGTGCCCGATAACGTTTATTGTTTATAGATTGAAATATATGTAACACTTATTTTGTTTATAAAATAAACACTTATTTCGTTTCTAAAGAATTTCGCAAGATATTATCACTTCAGTGATTAGTTTACTTAAAATAAACTCAGATCAGATTCTTTATGTTTAGATGTGTTTTTCTTTTACTTCTGTGCTGCTTTCTACTTGACCCAATACCGTCAATACTAATCATATTATTATCTATTCAATCATATTATTATTGCAATTGTTCGGAAAAGACGAAATTGAAATCTCAAAAATAATCAAGTGTATATCTATTGAGGCTGCCGCAACGTCAAGTGTAATTGTCAATCAATCACTAGTCACCATTAACCTTGTTAAAAAAATTGAACAAATATAATCGATTTATCTTATTAAATGTCGATAAACAAAGATTGAGTATTTTATAAAAGGTTACTAATTGGTAACGTGTGATCATTTGTCATTTTTATTTTATAATAAGAACTTATTGGGTCGCAATAAAGTTTGATAGTACTTAAGATAAAGGCATTCGCGAGAAATAATACGATTATGAGTTCCTAGGATTTCACGATCGGTGTTTGCCCAAATGACTTTTATGAACTTGTTTCTGAAGAAGGCGATAAATCATTTACTTTGGCAAAGAACAATAATGAAATCATATGCTGTAGACGTGTAGATTATAGGAAATGATAAAAAAGAACGATTTTTTAATTGTAGGTTGAGCAAAGCAAAGAGAGTTGTGGAAAATGTATTTAGCATAAATTCAGCTCTGTTTCGAAATTCTGAAAAATCAATAATGATAGAACCTCAAAAATGTAATGTCATGGTAATGACCATGTTATTATCATTCAAGTGTTCCCCAAAGAGCTCTTACCGATGTGTAAATACTCTCTACCGACAAATATATAAAACGTAAACCATTAATGCAAATTCTTTATTAACTCATTACATTGTTAAATAATATAAAATTCATTCTCATACTTCAAAAACTAAAAAATTATGCATGAGGACAGTTGGCGTCAGCAGGATAATCGCAAACATTCAAAACGTTGTTGAAATGTAAACCAGCAGGGCATGGCATATCATACGCTACTCCCCAATCACATTTACAATATCTGTCACAAACATTAGGATGGGAATGGAAGACGGGGAAATCGCCATTTTGAGATGGGCATACCACGCTAGAGCAATCATCACCAGGAACTGGAGATGTAATTGGTGCTTGAGTGGTAGTGGTAGTAGTTTCTTCGGGTAATACGTCATCGGTAGTTGGATCAGGTTTTGGGGTGGTAGTTGGAAGTGGGGCTCCATTGCAACCAGCATTTTCAGGCCAATCACAGACGTTTAATTCGGTGTTAAAATGTAATCCATCTGGGCATGGCATGTCATGAACAGTACCGTAGTTATCGCATTTACAATATCTTCCACAGTCTTCAGGATGTGCGTGGAAAACTGGGTAGTCTCCAGGTGTGTAGGGGCATGTAACAGATGCGCATTTTCCATTTTCAACAGTTGTGGATTCTGTAGTTGTTGTTGCTTGTGGAGTAGTGGGTTTTTCTGTGGTGGTGGTTTCTTGTTCAGTGGTGGTTGGTTCTTGGGTGGTGGTTTGTTGTTCAGTGGTGGTTGGTTGTTCAGTGGTGGTTGGTTGTTGGGTGGTGGTTGGTTGTTGGGTGGTGGTTTGTTGAGTAGTTGTTTGTTGAGTAGTGGTCGTTGTACCTGATCCATCACATCCAGCATTTTGTGGCCAATCACAGACGTTTAATTCGGTGTTAAAATGTAATCCATCTGGGCATGGCATGTCATGAACAGTACCGTAGTTATCGCATTTACAATATCTTCCACAGTCTTCAGGATGTGCGTGGAAAACTGGGTAGTCTCCAGGTGTGTAGGGGCATGTAACAGATGCGCATTTTCCATTTTCAACAGTTGTGGATTCTGTAGTTGTTGTTGCTTGTGGAGTAGTGGGTTTTTCTGTGGTGGTGTTTTCTTGTTCAGTAGTGGTTGGTTGTTCAGTGGTGGTTGGTTGTTCAGTGGTGGTTGGTTGTTCTGTGGTGGTTGGTTGTTCAGTGGTTGTTGGTTGTTGGGTGGTGGTTTGTTGAGTAGTTGTTTGTTGAGTGGTGGTCGTTGTACCTGATCCATCACATCCAGCATTTTGTGGCCAATCACAAACATTTAATGCAGTATTAAAGTGTAATCCATCTGGGCATGGCATGTCATGAACAGTACCGTAGTTATCGCATTTACAATATCTTCCACAGTCTTCAGGATGTGCGTGGAAAACTGGGTAGTCTCCAGGTGTGTAGGGGCATGTAACAGATGCGCATTTTCCATTTTCAACAGTTGTGGATTCTGTAGTTGTTGTTGCTTGTGGAGTAGTGGGTTTTTCTGTGGTGGTGTTTTCTTGTTCAGTAGTGGTTGGTTGTTCAGTGGTGGTTGGTTGTTCAGTGGTGGTTGGTTGTTCTGTGGTGGTTGGTTGTTCAGTGGTTGTTGGTTGTTGGGTGGTGGTTTGTTGAGTAGTTGTTTGTTGAGTGGTGGTCGTTGTACCTGATCCATCACATCCAGCATTTTGTGGCCAATCACAAACATTTAATGCAGTATTAAAGTGTAATCCATCTGGACAGGGCATGTCATGAACAGTACCGTAGTTATCGCATTTACAATATCTTCCACAGTCTTCAGGATGAGCGTGGAAAACTGGGTAGTCTCCAGGTGTGTAGGGGCAGGTAACAGATGCGCATGTTCCATTAATAACAGTTGTGGATTCTGTAGTTGTTGTTGCTTGTGGAGTAGTGGGTTTTTCTGTAGTGGTGGTTTCTTGTTCAGTGGTGGTTGGTTCTTTGGTGGTGGTTTGTTGAGTGGTGGTTTGTTGAGTAGTTGTTTGTTGAGTGGTGGTCGTAGTACCTGATCCATCACATCCAGCATTTTGTGGCCAATCACAGACATTTAATACAGTATTAAAGTGTAATCCATCTGGGCAGGGCATGTCATGAACAGTACCGTAGTTATCGCATTTACAATATCTTCCACAATCTTTAGGATGTGCGTGGAAAACCGGGAAGTCTCCAGGTGTGTAAGGGCAAGTAACCGATGCACAATCTCCAGAATTGGAAGGAGGGGCTTGTGTTGTTGGCAACTCACTTGTAGTCGTAGGAAGATTGGTTGTAGTTGATTGTCCACCTGATCCGTCACATCCAGCATTTTCTGGCCAATCACAAACGTTTAATATAGAGTTGAAATGTAAATTAGATGGGCAGGTGTATAGTACAGGTTTCCCCCAGTCACATTTATAAAATTTATTACAATCCTTGTCATCAATAAGGAAGTCTACGAAATCTCCGTTAGTACTTGGGCATACTCCAACGGGATCAGCGTCAATTCCAATGATAGTCAAAAGACTTAAAACAGCTATAGCTATAAATTAAAATAAAAATTGTATTAAAAAGCTTTTTCTTTACTTTTATGGAAATCGAATCTTACCCTTCATTGTTGTAATGAACTGACAAGAACTAGCTAAACTCTGATTAAGCTACGAATAGGAAACGCTTTATATACCTAGACAATTTTTCTAATTGCAATTATCGTGTTTTCTAATCAAGGATTAATTTTATAATCTTCACCCGTTCTATGATTGATTTGTATTTTCGAAACAATTGGCTAAGCAACAAATATACCAAACATTACTTTAAAAAAAAATTTGTTCATTGAGTAAAAGACCACGTTAAGAAACATTATAAAAAATATATGTTTTTGTTCGTAACATTTTAACCCACTTAAATAAATTAATTACATATAAATAATTATTTAGAAAAATATTTTTTTTTAATTATCTGATACAACAATCAGTAATCCTTAGTTTTCCACAATAAAAAATCATTTATTAATCCTATTCATTCAAACATAATGTACTTCGTGTTTTGTGTACTTTATCTATCTTGTATTAATCCTTCTGTCTTGTTATCTATTGAAACTTTAAATTAATTTTTGTACATATTTTCTACGAATAATCCGATTAATAAAAATATTTCCCTTCTACAACAATACACTTGAACTTTGCCCTTTGTTATTTTTTTTACGTTACATTAATCCACAAGTTCTCAATCTAATATAAAGTTATTCACAATTCAGCTGAAAAAATTGAAAGTTCTCTCTCATGTACTATGTCGTCACTCCATGTACGAACTTAGACCATGCTTTAGATATCTGGCTTCCTGCATAGTTTTCCTTCTCTTGAGGATGGCGTCCAATACTGCCTTCACCTAAGTCTGTTGTGGTCTTCCTATCCTTCTTGTTTCCTGCAACCTAACTTATACCACCTGCTTTACTTGGATAATGTCATGCATCTGCAATTTACTATTTATAGAATCATTCTATTAAAACAAGCTATATTTTATTTACCGACTTATTGACAATGGCCGATAAGATATGGGAAGCTTTTTCGAATTCCTCATTAGAAAATCAAAATTTTAAAACAAATTTTCAAAGTACTACTAATAAGAATTTACAGCGGCCGACTCTCGAATTTCCTTCCATTTCTTCTACTTCTTCAACAATGACTCCCATCCCGTGTTCACAACAGACAACCTTGAATGATGTATTAAAAGCATTTGACAATTTCACAACAAAATGTCAAAATATCTTTTCTACTTTTTCACAAAAACAAACTGTTGTGGACGCACAGATTGCGTCAATTAATGAAAAACTCAGTAACTACAACAATTTTGACAGTGGTCGTTGTTGTAATCACTCAGGAAAAATTCGAATTTTCGCTCAAGGTCTTCTTCTAAAAGTCCTTCAAGAAGTGATAACAATTGCGGAATTAACAAATTTCATTTTCGTTTTGGTGATAAAGCAAGGTATTGCCAAGGGAGTTGTTGTAAATTCAACTCATATTTTACTGAAAAATCAAAAGCTTCAAATCAAAAAAACTAACAAAAGTTTCAATAGAGATTAAAATTAAGGGTTTAAATATATCCTCCGGAGTTGAATCTGTAAGTTCACGGTTATTTATTTACGACGATCTCAATAACCTTAACTATCTTATTGACTCCGGAGCAGACATTTCGGTACTTCCTGTTTCTTTATTTCCTTCTCACAAAAGAGAATCATCCTTGGTATTGTCTGCCGCTAATGGTGGCAAAATTAAAACGTTTGGAAAAAAATTACTTTCTGTATCTTTACGTCTAAGACGCACATTTCCATTCGTTTTCACTTTAGCAGATGTGACGAAACCAATATTAGGTGCTGATTTTTTAGGAAAGTACCATCTTTTAGTTGATATCAAGAATCGTAAAATAATTGATCCTTTAACACATATCGCTTCAATTTGTTCTGTTTTTAATTTTAATCCTTCCAAAATTAATCTAATAAATTCTCAGATCTCTATTGAAACTAAATTCATAAAGTTAGTTAAACAATTTCCTAATTTAACATGTATTCCGGATTTTTCAAAACCAGTCTTACACTCAACTACCCATAAAATTATCACCAATTCGCATCTTCCTTTTAGTAGACCACGTCGTCTGGATGCAAAAAAACTTTTAATCGTCAAAAAAGAATTTGAATTAATGGTAGAAATGGGTATTTGCCGCCCATCTTCTTCGTCCGCATCTTCACCATTACATATGGTACCCAAAAAAGGTACTGATGAATGGCGCCCATGCGGCGATTACAGACGGTTGAATTTAATAACTGTTCCAGACCTTTATCCTTTACCGCATATTCAGGATTTTAACCTTCACCTACAAGGATGTTCAACTTTTTCAAAAATCGACCTCGTCAGAGCTATCACCAAATTCCGATATCTATAAAACGGCAATAAGTACCCCTTTCGGTTTGTTCGAGTTTGTTCGAATGCCATTTGGCTTACGAAACGCCGCACAAACTTTTCAAAGATTTATCAACGAAGTACTGTCTGGCTTAAATTTTCTCTTTGTTTATTTGGATGATATATTGGTGGCAAGTAAATCTGAAGACAAACATTTAGAGCATCTACAAATTTTATTCAAACGGCTTAGTGATTATGGGATCAATATCCAACCTACAAAATATATCTTCGGTGTTTCATCATTAGATTTTCTAAGCCATCATGTTTCTCAGGCTGGTATTAAACCCTCAAAATCCAGAATTGAAGTTATTTCAAAATTTCCTCTTCCGAGCACGGTTAAAGAATTACAGAGATTTTTAGGAATGTTTAATTTTTACCACCGTTTCCTTCCTAACATTTCTAGAATTTTATCGCCATTACATTCTTTAGTTACTTCTTATAATTCAAAGAAATTAAAAACAATATCTTCATGGACAATAGAAGATAAAAAGGCATTTGAAGCTACAAAAAAAGCCCTAATCAATTCTGTCCTTCTTGCTCATCCTTCCCCTACAGGTATCTATTCTTTAACCACCGATTGCTCGGATTATGCTATGGGAGCAGTTCTTTCTCAAACAATTGATGAAGTTACTTCACCTATAGCATTTTTTCAAGGAAATTAAGTTCTAGTCAGGTAAAATATTCCACTTTTGATAGGGAATTATTGGCAATATATTCAGCTATAAAACATTTCAAGCATTTCTTACATGGAAATCAATTTACTGTATTCACTGACTTATGGTCAGCTAGTAACAGCATTCTTTTCAAAATCAGAAAAAACGCCTAGACAGGCGAGATATATTAACTACATTGTAGAGTTTACTTCTCAAATTAATTATGTGAAAGGAAAACATAACGTTGTTTCGGACGCTCTTTCTAGAATCAATATAACTTGTTTGAAGTCTGAATATCCTTCAGAATCACCAATGAAAGAGGCGCAAGATTCAGATGTAGAGTTGAAACATCTTATTGATAAACAACTTTTAAGCCAGAACAAACGATACCATCTTGCTAAAAGTAGAATGACAAATTCTAAATCAGATCTTTGGTATGAAGATTCTTCTTCACTTAATTTATACATTCCAACTTGTTTCAGGCGAAATATTTTCAATAAATTTCATTTTCTTTCACATTCCGGTTTTAAAGCTACTTTAAATTTAATTAAGCAAAGATTTTTTTGGCCACATTTAACCAAAGACATTAAAGATTGGTGTAGGACATGCATACAATGCCAAAAGGCCAAGGTGCATCGTTATACAAAATCACCAATACATCATATACCCATACCAAAAGGACGCTTCGAACACATTCACATTGATCTAGTAGGTCCTTTACCTACTTCAATGGGTTGTTCCTACATCCTTACAGTAATAGACAGATTTACTAGATGGCCAGAAGCCTATCCGATGTTGTATCTGGACATCTGAAACCATAGCTTCAACCCTATTTAATCAATATTTTTCGAGATTCGGTGTGCCTCATACCATCTCACATGATAGAGGTCAACAATTCGAATCCCATCTCTTTCGACAATTCAATAAGTTGTTGGGATCTCAACAGATCCACACCTCTTCTTATCATCCCCAGAGCAACGGCATTTTGGAAAGGTTCCACAGGACGCTTAAAAATGCCATCACCGCCAAAGGATGCAGCTATAGGTGGAACAACAATCTTCCTGTAATTTTACTGGGTTTAAGATCCTGTTTAAAGGAAGATCTCGGTTGTTGCCCCGCTGAACTAGTCTATGGGCAGCCATTACGCCTACCAGGGGAATTCTTCATAACCTCTCAACATAACATAGGGACAACACCCTTACTAACAAGTTTGAGAGAAACTTTTCTTAAGCTTAAACCTATTCAAACAAAATTTCATTCAGTGTCGAAGCCTTTCATTCACAAAGATTTGCCGACATCTGAATTCGTTTTTTTTAATTTACAAAACTTCAAATCTTTATCTCCCAGATTTGAAGGACCTTACAGAGTATTAAAACGTTTTAAGAAAAATTATGTCATTAATAAAAATAACAAAGAATTGATAGTCAATATAGACCGCCTTATACCGGCATTTTTGACTAACAATTCTTACTCTGCAGTTAACGATTCTTCGTCAATTTTTAATAATTCTTTATCAACGATTAATAATTCTTCTTTCAATATCAATAATTCATCGCAAATTATTAGCACTTACAAAAAACATTTGCGAGTTCGTTTCTGTATTTAAATTAAAAATTACATTCATATCCTTGTTGCTACTAATTTGGAGTGGTCTTTGTATCTTTTGGAGAGGGGAGTATTTGTAGCGTCGCTACAAACATTCACAATTCACCTTCCAAAAATTAAAAAATTTTTCGTAGCCATGTTTTCATTTTCTTTGTTTCCGTGGGAAATTTTATTAAAAAAATTAATGTTGTTATTTTTAGTTTTTCAACAGTCTCGTCTCATTAGATTAACTCATGAACCAACTGCAAGGTCATAGCGTATGATACGGTTTTCAAATAAATACCTCGAAGACAAATCTAATTATTTTCTCAAATACGCCATGAAGTGGGAATCTTCTCATAAACCACATCCCTATACATCAAGTACTTTCATATAAATAAATGTATAAACATATAAAAATATGTGAAGAGATTCATTAACATTCTGAAGATGTGATTGAGTTATCCAAGAAATTATTGGCTAATTTTTAATTCATAAGTTTTTTTAATTAAAAAGTTTCTTGATAATTTCGATAAGATAATGTATATTATCATTTAAGTACTTTGCCTTATCTTATTTAACTTTAGCAGAAACTCCGTCCTTCCTTTAAAGCTGTAAAACATACCTTAAAAGTTAATATTTTTAATTTCCACTTATTGTTAGATTTTGCCCCGCAAATCTTGATGTATTAAGATTTCATCAAGATCTCTCCTTTATACAGGATGTCTAGAAATGACCTGTACAACGCAAGACCACAAGTACCACACAAGGATCTCTTTAGCCGTTAGAGGGCTTTAAAAATAATATGTTTTTTAATTTTTTTTTAAATAAGTCGAGAAATCCTCGATGAATTTTATTCATTTTTTGGTCATGCATTATGTATTACAACTATTTGTGGAATAAACTCTAATTTTGAAAATTATAGAGTGTTTAAAAACTTTGTAACAATAGATTATGCATCCATATCTTTTTAACTCCCTGTACAAACACTACCATTTTATTTTTCTGAATAGTACTTATTTTAATTTAGAAACTATTTTCTCTCTTACAAAATTTTAGTTTAGTTTAAAAAAATATTTTGTAAATCCCCACAAACGCGAATGAGTGATGCAAGGTAACAAAAGACGTTTTTTTAGGTATAATTAATTTTAAAAACAAAAACAGTTTGTCACTTAAACTTGACAGCAGTATTTGCATTTTTCGTTTTGCGTTTTATCTTTGATTCATCATAAATTTTCAAAGCCCTCTAGCGACTAAACTAAGCAATTTTGTATATAGATAAGTTTAGTTAAATCATCATATTTTTGGTCAAGGTACTTGTGATCTTCCGTTGTACACGTCATTTCCGGACACCTGTAGAATGTCTAAAAGGAATTATTTTCAAGATTCACAATAGCTTTGTTCCAACCAGCGGTTTGACTTGTCGTGTACTCGTCAAATGCAATCGCACAGTTAAATAATGCAATGAAATCCGCTGAAATGTGACGACATTACTTGACATGTGCGATTACATTTGACGAGAATCGGACGAGTCCGACCACTTGTTGGAGCAAACCTCGTGATTTACAGTTTCGATTCATTC